CATTTAAGTTTCCCCGCATGTCCTCCTGCTGAAATAAAACAAATCACAGCAGCCATCATATACTCAGATCTCTTTCCTGTACACCATCCTTCCACTTCGACACACCTGCCTTTCCCGCACGACCTCGTACCCCAAATTTACAAACTACGCCACAACAAAACACGGAGAAAAATATCGCAAAATTCAAAAAGTGGCGACCGATTCCCCGTCCGCGGCGATAAAAGGTGCGCAGGCGCCGTCGCAGCCATCAATCGCCGTTGAAAATCCGAGGGCGCAAAGCCTCGGCGTGAGCGAGACAGCCAGTAGTGCCAGAGCATTGTATGGGTGAGTATGCGCTGCTCTTCGGTGGTCGTGGTGGATCGCTTTTGTGGGGTTTTAAGTCGGAGGGTTCTTTTATTGGTGGGGAAAGGGTTGAGAGTGACAGTGTTAACGAGAAATGCATTCGTTAGACGAGTGGATTGCTTTCACAAAGCTGTGACTAAAAGCGTGTGGTGACGGTGCAGATGTTCAACAAGCACTGTCACCTAGAATCTAAGAAAGAACTAGATGCGAATGAGAATTAAAAACCTCCCTTACTCGACAAGCAAATAACCAAAAGGTGGGACGAATAAAAATCCCCATTGATTGGGGACGTTAATCACCTCAGCCACGAAGTATGCACGTGTCTCGGCATGATATCCTGCAGGTGGCGAGTGTGTGGGAAGTGGGCGGTCTAGGACCGGCTGAAACCAGTTTTGTTTCGTTCGTAACAAGACTTCGACCATCTCATTTCCTATTTTTTAAATCTAGTTTTTGTCTTTTGTAGTTTCATATCGGCAGACGAAGCTTTCAGTTCCTTTAATTCAGTTGCGAGCGTGTAATTCTCTTTGTTTCTTTGTCTTGTCATCTTTATTTTTTCTTCCTTTGTTATATAGAGTACACTTAGTAGTATATAGAGTACATCTAGCTGTATGTGCTAACATTTCCAGTGACAAATACATACCAATATTCATAGATATTTCAACCGTTAAGATTGCAAATTCAACTACACACTTTGCGCCACGTGAGCACTATAACCCCGAAGCAAAACCGAATGAGGTAAAACTCACACAATGCAAGACAATCGTTCGAACTTTTTAAAGGTCATTTTATCAGCCTCGACCCTAGAATAGTGAACAATCCATACTTAATGACGTCACAACGCTAGTATGAAGGGACTGGTGACTCATTCTCTCTCATTCTCGTGCGGTTTCTTTTATTTATTTTAAAAGCTTTTGTTAAAATTCTAAAACTGCCATCTTCAACGATGTGCATTTATATAATTCAGCTGATTAAGGAGTTTCGTGATCCAGATAGTTTAAGTGAAGTTTTGTAGGGAATGGTTGCACCTGTTATGAAATATGAATAGCAGAAATTCCTTTGACGTCTGAAAGTGACGGAACACTTACTCAGCAGTCACCGTTATATCTTTTGTTCCTTGGCTATTGTTTTCATTGTTGTTGATTGTTGTTGATGTATTGTGTGATATTGTGCTTTTTTTTGGATATATTTTATACTATTGACATGATTCTCACTGAATTACTGTGTGTTCTGTAAATACTGTTGTAATTTCTTTGTTTTTTTTTATTATTTTATCATCACTTTGTTAGGTAATTTTCTTTTCGCTTCAATATTCTTATCAGAAATGCGATAGGCATATGATTGTTTTTTATAAATTAGGGATCATATTTTTTTTACAAGGTAATATTGTTCACGTGTAACTACTACCATTATTAAAGTATTATATTCGAACTCCCTCGTAATTCTAGAAGCAGCTGTTTTGTCATGACTGGACCATATCCGTCTAGTCATGGGAATTGTGGATCAATATTTTCCACCGAGTAGCTTTAAAATTTCTGTTGTTTCAGTATCGCACACCTTTAAATAGGAGACATTGTTTTTGCTCATATTGTTATATATGAAAATATTGATGAGGCGCGCGCACACAGACAGACACACTCACACACTCACTCACTCATTCACTCACTCACTCACTCACTCACTCACTCACTCACTCACTCACTCACCCTTCACATACACACACACACACACACACGCACACACACACACACATTTATTTACTTATTTATCTTTATTTTTATATTTCCTGTTGCTAATACTTGACCACAGGCTTACACAGGAGATCGTGGGCCATTTCATGTTTGTCTCGATCAGTTCACTCTACCATCTTTCTCTTTCTTCGCAGCAGACAAAGGAGTACCATTGAGTGGGCATGGGGGCAGCACGAGTAAGTGTCTGCCCCCGAGGGCTGAGGCGGGCGTTTGTGTGGGCGCCGAGGAGAAAGTGTCCGCCGCCCCACACTTCGACCGTTGGGCGAGGCTGGGCGTGACCTGGCCCAGTTGACTCGCACGGGCGCATCTGTGGACCAAATCCGGGGTTGGCACCAGCCCGGGTGCCCCCCTCCATC